TCGGGTGCCAGGCGGTGGCAGAGCGGTGCCCGGCAGTGCCGCTCAGGTGGCCCCTGTCCCCCAGCTGTCCCTCCCTGGAGGCAGCTGCCTCCATCAGGCTCGCTCCTGGGGCTGCCGCAAGCAGGAGCAAGCGCCCAGGGTCCCACGTGGCCCTGCTGCCACGGCCCCCTGGGATGGGGGCGATGGGGGCAACAGCCTGGCTGGCCCCACCAGCCCCCCCGCATTGCTCCCAGGACAGCTGCCTGGGAGGGGATCCCTCGCCCCAGGCTGGGGGGCAGGAGAGTTTCACTCTGGAGCTTTGTGAGCTGGGTAGGGAGAACTGGGAACAGTGGCCGGTTCATGATCTGGGTGTGGAGTTTGCAGCTTGAACCCCTCCCGGTTCAGCTGACCATGCTGGCAGCTCTCGTGGGTGCTTGGGAGATGTCCGGGCTCTTTGGTAGCTGTTTCCTTGCAGAGAAGCCATCCCGGCACCCAGGCCGGCCGGGACCCTGGTCTGGGGCTCCAGCAGCCCTTCCCAGCAATGCGGAGCTGTGGCTGCTACTGCCAGCGTCAGCTCTCCCGCAGAGGTGCTGGAGTTTCCATCTTCCCCCTCACACAGTCCCGTTTGTCTCCATCACTCCCTGCCAGTGTGGGCAGGCGCTGCGCTCCCTGGATAGCGGCAGGTCAGGATGCCCTGAAGGATGGGGGAGGCTCCCGTGAGGCCCCTCGTGCTGCTGCAGCCCCTGGGATTGCGTTTGGCATCGCCCCAGCCTGCAGGATTTCCGCTTGCTGCTTCGCAGGGTCAAGTACAAGTGCTGGAAGGCCCCGGGCAGGGACATGCTGCGTCCCCCCTGGCCAGCGCCCAGGTCCTTCAGCCATGCTGAGTGCGGGTGTGCTGCACCCTTGTGGCTGAGGTGCCGAGGATGGGGCGCCCCGAGAGCCCTGCACTGGCCCCCTCCGGCCCGCAGCCGCCTGGCTCCGCTCACAGGGCGGGTGGGCTCTGTCCCCCCCTGCCTGAGGCGCATCCCTTGTCGGTGTCCCCACACCCCAGCATGGCTTGGAAGGCGGCGGGTCCCCCCCTGCCGCTGGCCAGGGGTGTGCCCCATAGGCCGGACACGTGGGCAGGGGGTGCGTGGGTCCATCGTGTGGGCCCATCCTGTTGCGGGTGGGATCGCTCTGCACGTGGCTGTGCCCACGGGCAGCAGTTGCGGGGTGAGCACGGTCCAAAGCCAGCACACGGCTCCTGGGGAGCTTGGTACCGTGGGGGAATTGGGGTCATGGGGAGATGTAAAGGAAAAATGGGCTTGAAAGAGCAATTAGACAAATCCATGGGGGATAAGCCCACCGACGGCAGAGGTGTGTTGGCCTGGCTGATGCTTCCAGAGGTGTCCAGGCCGCTGGTTCCTGCAGCCCAAGGGTTTGCTCCATTCACGGCCGCCCTGCAGAGCTGTTGCTGGCTGCAGCTAGGCCAGGAGCCCCACATGCTTTTGGCCGAACCAAAATTGGGTGCGTGGCGGGTGGGGATGACACACACCTGGGGTCCAAGGCGGGTGCTGACTCTGGTTTGGATCAGGGTGAATCCCTACTTCTGGAGGGGAGTGACTCCAGCCCGGCACTGGCAGGATCTGTCCCTTCCCCCATCCCTCGCTCACATCTTTAGCTGTTTAACAAACCTCAAATGCAGCTAATGAGAGCATAAACCCAAATAAGCGTCAGAAGAGGCTGGTTTGCAGAGGCGGAAATTGCAAAGGAATCACTCACAAAAAAAAAAAAAAAAACATTCGCTCGTGGGGTTAAGGAACAAACAGGCTTTTGACTCAGAGGGATCCAATGCCGCTGGGCTGGCCCCATCCCAAGGGCTGTGTCAAGTGCCCTGTTCTCCAGCCGGTGGCTTGGCGGCCCCCGGACAACGCCCGGGCCCCCACGGAGGGACAGGGACTGGCCCCACGGCACGGGGGGGATCCATGCGCCAGGGATCGCACTCGCAGCACAGGCGCCCATCAGCCCCGCTTTGGGTGTCCCTGCGGAGAGGTGGTGGGGGCTGGAGCCTCCCCTCTGTGGGGTCAGGCAGGAGTTAGGCAGCGATGCAGGGAGGGCAGGGCAAGGAGGTAAGCTGCAAGCCCACGTCCCGGCTCTCTGGCTGGGCATCTCCCAGAGCATCGGTTGCGAGTGCTGGGATAGCTGGTGCATCCCTGCGGTCCCAGTGCTGGGTTTGGAGCCTGTTGCCAGAGGACACAGGCTGTCGAAGCCTGGGGTGTTGGGACAGCAGTGCAGGCAGAGCTGCCGCACTGTGCTGGGGGCCCACAGGGCCACCTGCTCCGGGACAGTCCTTGTGCCACAGGAGAGGTGGGAGCCAGCTCGTCCCACGCTGAACCTTCCTGGGCACCGGTGCGGTCCCCATGCCTCTGCCCCGTGGGTGGCCCGGCCATGGCCAGGGTCTCGCTGCCCTTCGCGTGGTGGCACAGCGCAGCGGCGACCCCTCACCCTCTGTTGTCTCCGCAGGTGGGATCTGCTGGCTGCAGCAGGGGAAGGAGGCCAAGTGCACCATGATCCTGAAGACGGGCGTGACGTGGGAGGAATGCTGTGCCAACGGCAACGTGGACGTGGCTTGGTCTAATTATACCTACCCAGGCAACAAGATCAGCCTGTTGGGCTTTCTGGGGCTGGTGACCTGCCACCCCTGCAAAGGTGAGTGCGGCTGTGGGGCAAGCGGGCTGTGGCAGGGCTGAGGTCTGCTCAGGGAGGCTGCTCGGAGCCCTGGGGAGGATGCTCGGTGCCCGCAGCTCCGGGTGAAGTGGCAGCGATGGGGCTGGGCTGCCCCTCACCAGGCAGGGATCTCCAGTGCCCTCCTGGGCTGTCTGGGATGGCACAGGGACCCTGGGGACTGCCGACCCCGTGCTCCTGCTGCTGCAGCTCTGGGACAGATGCTGCCATGGGGCCAGGGCTCATGGGACAGCCTCTGTCCCCTGGCAGCTCTCACTTTGTGTATATTTTTGTATCCTACTCTGCGGAGTGGGATGCATGACCTGGGTCTTGGCTGGGCAGCCCGAGTGTGAGGAGCCGAGCTGGGACTCCCTGTTCCCAGGTTAACTCTGCTGTGGCTGGGGCCTCCCACCCCTGCCCTTGCCAGGTCTGCTCAGAGGGAAAATTGTTAGATTTTTTAAGGAAAAAAGATCTATTTCTTCCCCTCTGCTCCCCTGCCTCCTCCCAGCATGTGTGTGAAATGGCTTTATGTAACGGGCAGTTCCAGAAGTGGAAACTCTCCAGCTGTGAGTTCCAGCCCCGCCAGATGTTTTGGCGTGCACCGGAGGCGCAGATCCCCCAGTCGCACTTGCGTGGCCGTGTGAGAACATGCTCGAGGACCTGCTGACCGCAGTAGGCAGGAGCAGGTCTTTGGAAGGTCACATCGTTATTTGCTTAAAGGGGGGGGAAAAAAGCTCTTAACAAAACCGCTTCTTCCAGCCCCTCTGCACCCCCTGGTGCTGTTGTCCCGGCTGGTCCTCGGCCCCATCCTGGCGAGGCTCGGGATCACACCCTGTGCCAGCTGAAGGCTGAGTGAG